AGGCGGAGTCGTCTTCATCGTGATCGGAGAATTCATGTCTTTGAGGAGGTCCTCATCTTCATTGAAGTGGTCAGAGACTGCGGAGTTATCGACTGAGGCCATCGGAGAATTCGGTAGTTAGGTTTTAGTTGAGCGGAGGACCAAACCAGTAGGTATATGTGTTGTATATATGTAGTATATTTATATCTTTTTTTTGTTGTATAGTTGCATGTATATATGTTGTATGAAAGATTTGAATTGAAAATCATAAGGATTGGTATGGTTCTAGGTATATAAGTTGTATATTTTTCGTATATATACTGTTTATTGATTGTGTTGTTTTTGCACGTGTTAAGTTTGGGTGAAATATTTGAATTGAAAATCATTTTGGCTGGCAAGATTGGGCGAAGGCATGGACCTTCTCCTTTGTATTATTTGTCTTTTTTCCCTTATGTTTTTTTAAAAAAAAAGTTTATAGAGTATATTTGTGGTATATATTATGTATATATGTAGGATATTCATCCAAAAATAATTATTCGGCGGGTGGATATGACCGAAAATATAGAAAAGATGATTCCAATCAAATTCCCTATTTTTTCGCAATCTAATCTACGTGAAACGTGATTTTGTTGCTTACCATGTGAGAGAAAATTCTTACCACGTGGGAGAAATTAGTTTAATTGGTGTTAGTTACGGAAATCAAGGAAGATAAACTGATAATATGCATGTTCCTAATTATTTGTTCAAGATATGATAACAGTGCATTTTTTTTTCTCTTTTATCGTATATAAGCAATTATTTATAAATCACAAACGCGAGAATGGAAATGACCCGTTTTTTATACTATGGTTTAATACCACCCATTTCTATTGGGATTAAATTCCGCTTTAGCCTTAAAACATATATGGGCTATAGGCCGAACTATGACCGGAGATCCGCTGACAAATTCCCAGTGTCGATATGCCAAAAGACTAGGCTAATTTTTGTAACTACTACAAGAATATAAAGATATTGCATATATACGAGATGTCATGTATTATTAGCAGACATACCAAATTGAATTGACTTTATTTGATCTCAATTAAAAACTTCCTTTATCAAAGTAACTGCCCTTCCTACAATCACGCACCTATGGGATTTCAATGGGAAAAAAAATAAGAGAATATAACCTACGTAATAGAAATCTGTTCTTATCCAGATGAAAAGAATTATAATTTAAAATTTGAATGTCTTTTTTTTTCCTCTCTCCCTCAATATACATAAAATAAACAATAACAAATATACAACATATACACGTTAAAAAGAGTACAAAAAAAAAAAAAAACATGATAGCAAAATCATTCCCGTTGATGATATAACACCCATAAAAAATATACGCAATATACACGATAAAAAAAACACTAATCTTGGAGAATCTCGAGTGTATATATTATGTATATTTTATGTATATGTGGGTTCTGAAATTGATTTTTAGAAACGATTGAAACTCGAGTGTATATTTAAAGTATATTTTATGTATATGTGTGTCCTAATCTGTTGCACCAGATAAAAGGAGAACAAAAACATATTATATACAAAAGATATACCGAAGATCTATTGTACTATTTGCAAAAATATACTAAAAATAATATGCATTGTACGGTGTGCAAACTATTAGATTCAATTCAGTTATATACATCCAAATATACTTAACAGTAAATTTGTTTATAATTAATTAGACATGTGTTGAATTACGCTAGAAAGAATATAACATATCAGTTAATAATGTAATACAGTTGTTCCAATCAAGAACATATACAGAACATATTCATTACATATACATATATAAACTGCCTTTGTTCCAGTCAAGACAGTTCTCACATATTCATAACATATATATACAAGACCCTTGCTCACATATTCATAAATATACGTAACATATACAAGACAATTGCTAACATATTCATAACATATGCATAACATATATAACCTGCTTTTGTTCAATAGAACCTACGCATTTTTACAACAAGTTAATATTAAGATAACAACATATTACTCCAGTAAATCCAAAAAATAAATAAATAAATAAAAAAAACTCAGAGGATGGGCTTTCACTGTCTTCTGAATGTATTTCGTCCTCGAAGTCGGAATCTATTTTTGCCCCCTTTTGTGCCATATATCGTTTCTTTACTTGAGTCTGTCCCCGTGCCCTTTTCTGTAGATTGCGGCCTGGGACCGACTGAAATTCGCCGGAATCAGAGGATGGGTCAGCATTTTCTTGAATTTTATTGTCGGGAATACTCCGATTGGTGTTGGTTTTCACTTTCTTCTCGAATTGCAATTTTTTTTTGAACGACCGTGGGTTTCCTTTGAGCTTGTATATTTCTGAGACGAGAACTCGATCTTCGATGTGGAGAGGACTCGGCGCCGGTTGATGGATTTTTTCTAGTTTTTGTTTTTACCATTTTCTGAAGTATTTCGATTTCTTAGGGTTCTGCAGAATTAGTTTTGTTAGGAAGAAAAAATATGAAATGTAGAAGAATAGAAGAGAAAAGAAATTAGTGGGATTTTTTTTGGTAGTGGGATAATTCTCATCCCATGTACCTCGGGAACCGATTTTTGGTAATGATATCATACCATTAATTAGTAGTAAATTTATTAATTAAGATGGGATAAGAAATCTGAACAGACTTCTGGTAAACCTGCAATTATTTTTGATAATATTGGTATATATACTAATAAATATACAAGGGAGTTATTTGCGCAAATAATTTTGAATTTTCTCGTTCAGGATATAATTATCTCAAAAGACTATTGGTGTCGATTTGTTGATCTGGTGTAAAATAAAGTGGAAAAGCAAAACTCCCAATAAAATGTGAAAGTCCCATTCTCAAACTTATAACTGCCATGTTTAGACACAATGTCCGTTAAATATGCCCTTAATTGGCATAAATCGTTTAAATGTAATCGTCGCATTTTCATTTAGAGTTTGTCAAAATACTTGGAATTGTACCCTACAAGGGACCATACTTAATTTATCATTAAAAAAAAAAAAAAACTCAAAGCTATAAATATTACTTTGTCGATCCGAATTTTCTTATCGATCTCATTTATAGCCTACTTCAAGTTCTTAAGTCTATAATCACTAAAGATTTACGTTTTATAGTTCTTTGTTACCCACAACAGATTGGCGCTAGAGTAGGGCCATAATGGTTTTGGTTAAAGTTTGCCTTAAAATTTTAAGAAAGTTACTATTTCAAGCTATCGTGTCTTCTTCCAATAATCCAAGCAACAATCAAGACAACCATGGTGCTAATTAGCAGAAGGTCGCTGAGATCAGAGTGAGGCTGAAAGAGGCACAGAGCAGACAGAAAGCCTATGCTCTCCATCTCCTACTGATATCAATCAAATTTTCAATAATCCCATCTTCATTAAAGGTAATCAAACTTTTTACCCAAATGCTTCACAATATCCATCACAAGACTTGCCCTCAAAAGCCTTCCCACAAAAATCCAAACCTGGCTCGCAAGCCTTTGTGTCACAAGAGGGAAACTATTTTGACCCTCGTGTGACTAGTAAAATGGGTAAATAAAAGGTCGGCTGCAAACCCTAACCCTAGAAGGGATTGAAGAAACCCCAGTTCAATTTGTTGTTGAGCTTAGCTCAAGCACCCTACTGTGTTCGAACTATTCTCCATCACCAAATTACTAACACGACTCCCTACAAATAGACATGACCAAAACTTGGGCCGGGCCGTGCCGTGCCACCGGGCCACCGAGTTGGGTGTCGATGACTCTGACCGGCACGGATCTAGAGTCGTGCCGGGTCCATGACCCGGCGGGCTAGGCTGGGCCCGACCAGAGTCTGGACCCGACCACATAATTCTTTTTAAAAAAAATAAAAAAACTCAAAAGCAATGTACTTTCCGTACCGGCCCGACCCGCTGGGTCAAAGTCGAAAAAACATGACCCTTGACCGGGCCGTTTGAAATCCGTGCCGGGCCCGGACCCGTGGTCAACGGGTTTGACCGGGCCGGGTCTGTGCCGGGTACGGTCCAGGCCGGTTCTATGCCGGGTACGGTCCAGGCCTGTTCCGTGTCAGGTCCGGGCCGGGTGCATGTCTACCTACAAGGAAGCAACGAAGATTGTTGTAATCAAACTTCAAATCGCCAAGCTCAAGCCCGAAAAACTCCAGATAGTCCACATCGGCTTGTCCCTAATCTACTTTCTTATATCCTTCTTATAGATCACTGGAACGATACATCCTCGGGATTTGTCCCTGTACTCTTTTTTTTTTCTTATCACGATTTTTTCGCACAAGGTTTTTTCGAATAAGGTTTTTAACGAGTCAGCATAAACGTACATTTAATAGTTTATCGCTAGTAATCTTATCAATATTAATCTTATCATGAATATATGGAGATGTGTGAATGTATGAAAATGTCCAAAGAATCATGCTTGTGAGTTTGCCAATAAAAGGCAAGTGAGTGAAATAGAATGATATTGAAGTAAGAAGGAAGAAAATCAGTAAATATATTATATCCGATTTTTATATTGAGTTCTTTTTCTTCCCCGCATTTATAACACTTATATTTGTTATCTATGGAAAAAAAAAAAAAAAAA